AAGGGCCGGAGTGGGAGTAAGGTGTGGAAAATCTGTGAGCTTTGGCAGCGAGTAATCACTGAGCTTCTTAGGTATCGCCAGCTCTGATTCTGGATTTGAAGGAATTTCTGAGTCACTGGAATCAGTTAGAGGGTCTCTTCGATTATTGTCTTCCTCAGAACCAGCCAGGATATGTCTATAGAGATTCTTTTGTCTATGGAACGAGCGCTCGATCTCAGGATCGAATGGAATGTAACCTGATCTGGAACACCTGGGCATAAACAAAGAACTAAAAGACAAATATGAGAATTGCTACTCTGAGACAAGAGGGGATGATCTAGACTACAAAAATAATCAAAAAATAAAAATAAAACCGTTTCCCCGGCAACGGCGCCAAAATTTGACGGGCTAAAGTCGTATCACCCAATAAAAAATAATACATAAATCCACTAACTATGTAGATAGGGAAGAAGGGTCGAACCATAGGGAAACAAGTTAATTTATTCCTAATTAATCAAAATAATCTAAATTATCAAGTAACCAAATTATTATTATAAGGGTAACCAAACTACTAAGAGTAAGAGTAGGAAGGAATAAAAGTAAGAGGGAATTCAATGAAATAAAAGCCTAGGGCATAGGTTCACCAATAAACAATATTTCAGGGTAAAACATAACAATCAACCATCAATGCATCAATTAATCAGATCATAAAAGGCTTTCGCTACGTATTACAATTACAGAGTTAATTTACCAGTATAAAATCTCATCTCTCGAATCCCGACTTAACCATTTATAAATTAGTTCGCCTATTAAAACTAAGCCTAAACATCAATTCTCATCTCTCGAATCTCGAATCAATATTGTTAAACTCATTCAATTAAACCAGGCCTAATCTAATTGTATAGTATTAAATCAATCAATAGGAAAATAATTAAGCATTGACAATCAATAATTATAAATTACCCCTTCATATTATTTATTGAATCCCCATAAACCCTAGAAATAAAACTACTCACACATAATTAATATAAACTAAATAAAGCAATTAAATAAGCCATAAGAGAATAAAGGAATAAAATTGCTGAAATTAATAGAGAAGAAATCGTTACCAAAATCAATGGAACTACAAAGTTGAGTCAAGATCAAGAGTAAAAGTTAGAGAGAATTTTAGAGAGAGAAAATAATCTAAGTAGAGAGAGAAAGTCTAAAAAAGAAGGTAAACAAAAATCAAGTACTAAAATCGTACTTAAACCAACTCTAAAACAATCCTAATTAGAAACTAAAAATTCGGCAAATCAGGTCTCTCAGAAACACGCGCCCGATCGGGCGAAGGGCCGCCTGATCGGGCCCGCCTTTTTCTTCGTATCTTCTTCTAAGCAGTTGCGCCCGATCGAGCCAATGCTCACCCGATCGGGTGCGCCTTGCTAGCAACACTTGACTGCGCGCCCTCCCTACACCCGATCGGGCTCGACTTCACCTCGAGGCTTGGATTTCGATTGGGCTTGATTCTTCGGCCCAATCCGGATTTCCTCTTCGGGTCTTTAATACTTGGTCCAAATGCCCCGGTATCACATATGCCGAGCCCTTAATCACCGGCTTGATGACTCTAGTCGGCCTTGGGCTTCAAAAACGGTCGTGTTCTTCTAATGTCCGTAGTTGCTCCATGAAAACCTGGGAAAACGCTTCAAAAGTGCAATTTCCTACAAAACTTAAGCAAAACTAAAAAAACACTTGAAAACACCAATTAGTAATAAAAGTGGCTCTAAAGAGCCAAAAACACTACTAATTATGACCAAGGGACGGGAGTAAAATACTATATAAATGTCACACATCAACCTCCAATGTCTCATTTTCCTCCTTCGTTGGCTTCGAGGATGTGAGAATATATGCCACTCCAAGTATGTTAACAAAAAATGCATCTTTTTTCTGTCATCTTTGAAAATGCACTCCTTTAAACTTGTCCAGCTTTTGAAAGTTTGATGTCAATTCTTTCATCGTTGCCATCTTTGTAGGAAATTATTACTTTGGATTATTGGGAAATTGGTTTAACGGGTCACAAAAATGTAACGAAATTGGGCAAATTTAACATTTCGAGGCGTGAACAAAATCACTTTCTCACTGGGATTTACAATGAAGACAATCACAACAATGTGTAGTGTGTTTGTAATCTAATGTAAGCAAAATTTGAGTGATTATGATGATGATCAAGGATGCACGTGTAATCTAATGTAAGCAAAATTTGAGTGATTATGGTGATGATCAAGGGTGCACGGGTACGCCAAAGTGTAGTCGTTTATCGTACCGGGGACGTATCGGGTACGGTACGGGTACGGCCCAAATACGTCCCCAAGGAGTACCCTTGAAATGTGGTACAGAAAGCTATTTTGGGGACGGCTGGGAGGAGCTCCGGAAACGTCTCAGGGACGGATCCTATTCTATTTCGACGTCCCCACTACAAGCCCAACCAATTTCTTTAAAAAAAATCCCCCAATTTACTTGAGGTTGATTTCTCAAAAACCCTAGAAATTAAGAGGCCGAGATTCCTTGATTCCTTGTCTGCGACCACCTGCTGCGACCTCATAAGGCCACGATTCCTTGCCGGAAACCACCGGCGACCCACCCCAACATCGGAGACTGCGAAACTTCTATCTACTTTATATTCTAAATCTATTTCTACAGTTCTAATTTTTTATTCTCTCTCTCCGACCTTAGCAATACTTAGTTTTTATTTTAGTTTTGGTTTTATTTTTAATTTTTAATGGCTATCTGATTATTTGATTGTATTTCTTTTCTTTCAATTGATTGTAGCGGACAGTAGCGTAAATAGGTTTGTACTTTTATTTTTTTATTTTCCTATTTTTCTTTAATATTTTTAAAATAATTTTATAGATTTATATTTTTCTGATTTATTTTTTGCCGTATCCATGCTGTACCCGTTTTTTGAAATTTTGATTTTTCCGTATCCCGTCCCCATATCCATACACGTTTTTGTCCCCGTATCTGTTTCTGGGCAACCTAGATGATGATAATTGGGGTTTGCAAAAGATTTCAAGAAGAAGAAAACAAACGGACTTTCCTTGAATATTTTTTTTCATCATATGTTCTTTGAACATATATATAATAACTGCAATAAATAAGCAACGATGAAGAAATAACCGTCAAATCAGCCCAAGGCACCACCTGCGCCTGACGAGGTCGGCAACCACCCGACCGGGCAAATATGTTGACGAACTTGGATCCTCACGCGCCCGCCCGGCCACCCTACCGGGCAGTGAAACCCAAATCTCAGAAATGGCTTCTCGTGCCCTGTAAGGCGGTGAAGGCCCGATTGGGCAAAAGCCCTGTTATTATGCTTCGCTGCCCTCGTGCCTGGCCGGACGGCGGTGGCCATGCTTGGTGGCGAACTTGCCGTCCTTCCCTTCCACTCGCGCCCCGCCGGGCGGAGCAAGCCCTAACCGGGCTGCTATACTTTCCTCTATACCGAGTGACTAATTGCTCCTAATTACTTGTTTAATTAAGACACAACACCTTAACCTAAGTGAATCAATCAAACAATATGAAGTTTGTCTACAATTCTTTAAATTATTCAATAGTTGTATAAGTTATTGGGAACATACAAGTACTAATCACTTATTAACACCTCTTTATGTTATAGGCTTGAACTAGCTTCATTGGCCTAATTATCACATGATTTAATCTCTTGGGTTTTAATTGTTTTTTCTTATTGTAGAGAACTTCCAAGGTGCTTCTTCTTTATAAAAAACTTTTGAATAATTGACTGGCTCCATATATTAAAATGCTCTCTGCTTTATATGTAGCTCCTGTCCCATGATCTCAAACAAACATATCCATACTTTTTTGTATTCTACTCCACTTCAAACCTTGGATTTAAAATTTCTCTCCTAACATCTTACTTATCATTGATGGATTTTTAATTCACATTTACCAAATCTGTGTTATTTTCTAAGTGCATACACTCTGGTATTTCCCCTTGGATCGTTTCAGTAAGTTTATTCACAACTATGACTAAGAGGAGGAAATTATGATGAGGAATGCTCAGTAAATCAGTTAGGAAGCCTGAGGAAAAGGGCAGGAAATAAATTAGAGGGACGGGGGACTCAGGAAGCCTATATAATGAAAGGAGGATAGGAAGAGAAGGCATTGAGAATATCTGAGAAGTTATTTTAGCTAAATTTAAGTTGTCTTTGGAAAAACATGCAGTCTCTCAAATACATGACAATATGACATTTGTGTCTTAATTTTCTGTAATTTCAAAAGTACCATTTTTAGATCATCATTTTTTTTCCACTAGGCTAATCATTACACACTTAAGTTAAAATGCTTGGTGAAACCTTGTTATAATACTGTCCTTAATTTCCGTCCTGAGGTTACAGAAATCTCATCTAGGACAATTTGGTCATCTACGTCAAAAAATAGATTTTGTAGTTCTATTAGAATACTCTGGAAAATGTTTACGCCTAAATGAGTGCACCTTTGAAGATCAAGAATGTGATTTCTAAATACTTTGCCTATTTTGCGTACAGAGCTATAAAATCTATATTTGGATTGAGCGACTTTGAAGTAGACATCCTTCATTTTGTATCTATTGCTGCAAATTGCTAGGATTGAAAATTCTGGTGTTTGAATAGTCATTGGTTGATGGCATAATGCATCATTGACATGATTCAGCACAACCTTTAGTTGATGGCTATGAAGTCTCAAAGTCTCAACATTTTACACACAGTGTAGTTGAAAAGTTTTACTCCTTTGTTTCTTAGGTGCACGACAATAATACTAGTTCTAACTGCATACAGAACTGCAGAAGACCCTCTGTATGTGATATACTCCATAGTCAATACCTGATTTTTTGTATCATAGTTGTCAACCTTGTCCAATGTCCATTGATTCTTTTGATCCTGTCATTGTATTTGTTGACTGAATTTATGATTTGAAAATCATTTTTCTAGCGAAATTACATGAAAGCGATTTTCTCTTTTACAATCATTATTCTTTACCTTTAGGTTCCTGCAACACCCAAGTCTCCTATTGAGGCATCTACTACACCTCCAACCACTGTGCCCATTGATGCTCTGTGAGTTTTGTATTTCGATGCTTTTTACTTCTTTAGGCACTTTTGGCAGGAATTCTGTTTTCTAATGGTACATCTGCTTAATTTACAGCCCTGCATCTGTGCCTACATCAGTGCCAACTCCCATTATTTCATCTTCTGTGTGAGTGTCTAGTTTCATTTAAATTGCTATATCTAAAGGAGATTCTAGTGACTCCTATTAGTTTGGATTCAAATTATCTATTGGCTCGGATTTTTTCTGAAACTTTATGTTGATGCAGGTCAGAATCTGATGTCAGTGGACAGGCAGCTATAAGTCTTGATGCTGGAAATGACATTGAGAATACAATCCAGCATGTAACTGATATCGGTGGAGGAATTTGGGATAGAGACGCAGTTGTACGCGCACTTCGTGTTTCATCTAATAACCCAGAGAGAGCTGCTGAGTATCTAAAATCTGTGAGTTAAGATCCTTACATCTTTTGCTTAGTTGTGTAGTTGCAGTCAAAGGATTCTTGTCTCCTTGAGGATTCCCAGCGTTTCTGCTGGCTGGAGTCCATTTCATCACTTGGTTTTAATTAGGATCTTTCTAGTATACTTAATGTTATACGGTATTCTTGAGCAAGCTGAAATGCCTTGGGTTACAAATACTTCATCTGTATTTTCTTTGCTCTAGGCCTAAAGCTCAAATGTGGTGGATGTTGAGCTAAAGGCTTAGAGCAATGTGATACGTCATCAGGGTTTGAATATACTAGTGCCCTTAGTTTTTGGTGCATATCCACAATTCATGCTTTTCCCCCCTGTTGAGCACTACATTGACTTAAAAATATTTTCCGTTCCTTACCTAATTTTTGAATTGACATAAATATTAACTGGCATCACTGGCATTGAATTCTGAAAAAGCCTTAGCAATGTTTCCTTCTTAGACAATGAAATGATTGAGAGTGGCATGGAGGGAAGTTCCATGGTATTACAACAAGTCATAGGGACCAATGCATTTAAGGCCCTCGCTGTTTGAGAGGAAAGAGTGTAAAGCACTGAACACGAGAGAAAACCCTTTCTTTCAGAAGATATACCTGAAAGCAAGGAAGTACATCATGGGTGTGGGGCAGGGCTTGGGGACTCAGTAAAAGTTCCAATATATTATAGAAGCACATAGAAGTAATTTGAAATGAATGCAAAGGGTTGAACTTGTTTTATTCAAATACTTTATTAGGGTTTGTGAAGTTAAGGATTTTTTGACAAATTATAGCAATAACGTTAAAAGGGGATTTTCATTTTACCAGTGATACATGCATGTTAAGTTAGCAATTTCATAGTCTGTATTTGATATGCATTTTCATTGATGCTGAATAAATGAGTGTTTTCAGAGTAAGAGTTTGGCTAGGGATAGTTCTGTGGCAGCAGCAGCTATGACAGCTGAGGTAAGAACAGCTTTACAATGTCCATGACTTATGTTTCAAATTTTTGTACAATGTTACAATTGATGGTGGAAGGGGGTTGTCTCAACAGCAGCAGGCAATGGTTTTCTGTACAGTTCAGTTGCAGCAACAACAAGTAAAACCCATTTTGTGAGAAAGGGATTGGAGAGTTTAAAATATAATATCATACCCTTGTATTGTTAAAAACTGTTAATATTAGCTCCTTTAAAAATTAAAAAAAAAAAAAAAAAAAAAAAAAGAGTTTAAAGCTATTGGAACTTAAAAACTATGTTACTGCATGTCTGCATATACCATGCACCATGGCACTTCCTCTTGACTGTTTAAGTAAGATAATCTATAGAATTTTAAGCTAAAAAACCCAAAGCTCCTCTAAGTCTTTGATTATAATCTCAAAGCCACCTTCACCACTAACCAACTAATCAACTATTAAATAATTCTTACCATTAAAATAATTAACTATTAATTATTAGATCCTGATCTTATTTAACTTATTTAAAATACTTTATTGATTGAACTCAACACTATCATGCTATGAATATCTTCCATTGGCATTAAATCCCCAGCCAATCATATATCCATCTTAATGGCTCTGACATGAACATATATCACAAAACAAAGGTCACTTCTTGCTTTGTTCGTATCTTATTTTTTGTGTTAAATAAGGGTTCTTAATTGGTTATCTAGAAACCTTATGATGGAGGGTGACCTATAGAATACTTCATATAATTTTTATAGGTGGTTAATATTAATTTTTATTTAGTAAGGTGTGGTTATGAGAATAGACCTCTCGTTTAGGGTGGTTTTTGATTGAAAATCCTAATCTATAACTGTGGCTGAGAAGGAGACTTGAGGCAGACACTTGAAGAGTTGAAGTCCTATTTCAATGAAGAATAATTCCATATCTCCACTTGGATTACTTCAATTAGATCTAGCACAATTTGGTTTTCTTTATCCTAAGTAGATTTTGAAATTAGCTACATAGAAGTGGAAATTTTTAATTTTGTATCTTTGGCTACAAATCACTGGGCTTTAGGATTCTGGCATTTTAGTAGTCATTGGTAGATGGTTTGGGTTAATGCATGAATGATTGGTTAGGAATCAAGTTTTAGTAGTTAGCACAACCTACTTCTGAAGGTTACAAAGTCTCAGCTTTTACCCTTAGTTTGGTTGTATAAGCTGTTGTTATCTCCTAAGTGCCATACATTCCTACCAATTTATATGAAAATCAAGGATCAGTCTGTATGCTACATATTTGATATTCGATGCTTTTTTTATCATGGTTTCCAGCCTTGTCTATATTTATTTGATCTTGTCATTTTGTATGTTGTCAATTGTAGAAGTTACTGTATTAATTGTGATATTGTAATAATTGCCAGCTAATATTTTGAAAGCAATAGTCCGATTACAACTGATATTTGTTCACCTTTAAGGCTCCTGCAAGTCCTGGTGTTGAGGCATCTACTAAACCTCCAATTACTGCAACTGATGCATCTCTGTGAGTTCTGCTATTCTATGCTGCTTTGTTTTCAAGAAATTCTGGCTGGAAGTTTGAATTCTTATGGTATAATGTTTGTATTTTTGGCAGCCCTGCACCTATGCCTACTTCAGTGCCAACTCCTAGTATATCTTCTGTGTGAGTGTGTACTGACTGTACTCTGTTTTTATTTGCCAAACTCAAGAGATTATATGTTTTGACTCCTATCAGGTTAAATTCAAACTATTGTTAGGCTTGGATTCTTTCTGAAATGTAATTATAAAGCAGGCCAGAATCTGATGTTGGTGGTCAGGCAGCTTCAAATCTTGTTGTTGGAAATGAACACGAGAATACAATCCAGCACATACTTGATATGGGTGGAGGAATTTGGGACAGAGACACTGTTGTACATGCCCTTCGTGCTGCATCCAATAATCCTGAGATAGCTGTTGAATATCTTTATTCTGTGAGTTACGATCCACACTTCATCTTTCACTCAGATGTGTAGTTGTTAGTTAACAATTTTTAAGTCATACTCAATGAACTATTCGCTTGTTGGAGTAGATCTGTCAGTTATTATTTCTTATGAAATGCTGATATTCTTAATGCTATAGGGTATTCCTGAGAAATCTGAAAAGCCGTCTCTTGTTCAGTCCATTGGGACTCGGCAGCGTACAAATACTTCATCTGTTACTCAACAACCCAGACGACCAGCATCAGTGCTATCTGGTGGACCTAATGCAGGTCCTTTAAATACCTTTCCTCAGGTATGCAATGGGTGATGACTGTTGCTGCAGTACTTTGGAGAATTGCCTTGGTCTAAATTTGTATTTGGAAGCAGGGCCTTCCTACTGTGGGTTCCAGTGCTGCTCCCTCTGGTGCCCTGGATTTTCTGCGTAACAGTGAACAAGTATGTTGTCTACTTGTAATTTGATAAAACTCAATCACCTTTACACTAGAGTAGATTGGAGCTCTGAGAAATGGAGAGTTGGACAGCTTACTCTAATTAAAAATTTTCTCTGCAGTTTCAAGCCTTGCGAGCCATGGTGCAAGCTAACCCGCAGGTTTTGCAGGTACTTTGTTCCCCATGATTTGAGGTTGTTAAGATCTTGTTTTTCTGTCATGCACTATTCATCAATCTCTTTGGCTCTTACTGTATCTTGTTTGCTCTCATTTTCTTTCTTCATGACAGCCCATGCTTCAAGAGTTTGGTAAACATAATCCAAACGTGATGAAACTTATTCAAGAGCATGAGACTGAATTCCACCGATTGTTAAATGAGCCTATTGGAGTTGAAAAAGGGTAAAGATTTTGAGCCTGTCATTAGATATCTGAATATCCGGGCAGTCAGCATACATATGTTTTTAGCCATCCCGCGATAGCTATCCACCTTCCCTGACCAATTAATCATCTTGTTGCATATTGACCCCGTTCAGGAATATACTTGAGCAATTTGCCACTGCAATGCCTCAGGCTGTGCAAGTTACTGCTGGGGAGCATGCAGCCATAGAACGGGTAAGTCCTCAACGGCCTTCTGTTTTTCCTCCTGAGTTTAGATTATTCCGAAGGACAGAATGATATACTATCTGCTTGCTCATTATGTCATGCAATCTTTGTTATGTAAGGATGTTGGATCAATTGCAAATTATTATATTTGGGTGGTTATGACTTTGCTTAAACCAGCATGTACCAAAGCATATATCCAGTAATCCAGGCTCCACTGTTTGATACAATTGTTTGAAAATCTAATTATCTGCCTTTTCTGATTACTCGCTGTACCAGTAAATCTCAGTGTATTTCAGGTAATATGGATAAATTAAATTAAATGTCTTTCTACTCCATTGACGGGTTTTCATTTTTCTTACTTTTTTATTTTAATTTGTGGTTGGGAAAGTGTGGTTTAACATGTTAAATGTTCAGCAGACATGTTCAGCAGACATGGTTCAGGACAAACCTGCTCTATTCAGATGATATATACTTATATGTAAATTTTTTGATCTTTTTAAACTTGCAAACTCACCTGAAATTAGTAACAATGCGAAGAGAAGACTCTACATCAATACATCATATTGCACTACATTGCTTACCTCAGTTGTGTGGTGGTGGGAAAAAGACCATTGTGATTGTGAGAGGTTTTAGCAAATAACAATTTTGAGTTATGTTGTCATTCCCTACTGTGTGCAGCTTGAAGCTATGGGTTTTGATCGGTCAACTGTATTAGAGGCGTATTTTGCTTGCAACAAAAATGAAGAGCTCACAGCTAACTACCTTCTAGATCATATGCATGACTTTTGAGGATTAAGTTGTGAGAACTAATGGTGGTGCTTCCTTAGCTCTTGTTCATCAAGAAGTCAGCTGGCCGTTTGCATTTTCTTACTGTAACGCCATTCAGACTTCCATTTGATGGCCACTGTATGTATAAATGTATAATTCCCTGTACCTTTGCTGCTGTTAACATAATTTGTTTCGATTTTTTTTTTTTTTTTTTTTTCCTATGGTGCACAAATACATTAATTACTAATTAGACACTTTTACTATTGTAAATACATAAGCCAAGCAAGCTTGGTAGAAATAGTGGGGAATTTACCTTGTAATTGTGATTGAGGTTACCAATTCGAGTCTCATCATACACTTGTGTTTGGGAATGGAGAATTCTCTTACATTACCCCTCACTCAACTATTTGACTCTACATTTTATATATAATAAAAACAAGTGTACTAATAAATATACAATATTTGTAGTTTGTGAATTTTGATATACTTGTAACTGATAATCCATTATTCCATACTACAATTTAGTTTAATTGTACAAAACTCGAATAACAAACACTTGTATCAAAGTTATTTTCGAAGCTTCTGTTATTCTAATGACTTAATTGAAGTGCGACACTTTTTCATGTTCATTAAAATATCAGGATGTCATTCCATTCTCCCACTTAGGGCCTGTTCTATTCAGTTTAGTTTCAGTTCAGTTCATCTACAATCAGTTCAACTCAGTTCAGTTTAGTTTCAATTAGTTCAGTTTAGTTCAGTTCAGTAAATCAGAGCATGCCTTTGGAATTTTGGATAGAGTATATGACGCACCATAGCTGAAAGATACAATGGTCCAATATCATAAATCCTCAAACAGACAGCAATCTTATGGAAGCAATAAACATTAAGCAGCATGAGTATGAAATTTGAGTAAAAACTCTATTGTTTATTAATTTAGGTTAGCATGTTTTCCAACCTTACAGGAGCAGTATATGGTCCATTGTTATGGTACTGCAAAAAAAGGGGTTCATTAATTCACACCACTTTTCGGCCTTGAAAGAGAAAGAGATTAAGAAGGATATCCGCGCATGAACATCTCCACTAATTGATAGGACAAAGCCCTCCACTACTGACTACCTCCATAAAGTACAAACTCAACTCATGACATGACATGACATATACTTGTTTAAGGGATAGAATGAACAGTGTAGGCTGGGTTTCTGAGTGCTTGTTTGGTTGTCAATGGGAAAAATGGATAACTTTGGATAAGTTGAGTTTAGATTAGTTTAATCAAAATGAATGTGTGGTAATCCTTTCATGTTTGATTGGTAAAAGCAAATGGAAATTGATTCGTAAAGAAATGACAACTGAATTAAATAAAAATCATCCTTTCTGCATAGCTATGATCATTGTTAGTTGCAAATCGTGCATTATTTGTATTCTCTTTTACATCATTGTGATTTACAATTTTTTTCGACGAGAGAGTTTATCGATCCGTTGTAATCAGGAAAAAAAATTCTTCTAAATATATTCAAAAGATTAACTTCTTTTCAATCCCATACAAATCTTTGCCATAAACAACCTCTACCATGATTAATCAAACAAACACGTCTATCATTATAAATTCACTAACCTAATACCTAAAATTCCAAAATAACTTGATGTATTCAATAATTTACTCCTTCCGTGTTTTTATAAGTAACAGTGTTACACTTATCAAATGCGGCCATGTTTAAATAAGTTTTACACTTTTTTTTTTTTTTTTGGCAAAAAGCTACATTTTGATATTATATATATATCTCTCTCTCGTGATCCCCACCTAAACCCAATACTACATTTAAAAAAAAAAAATTCTCTTCTCTCACATTCATTACTTTTTAATAAACTATTAACCTAACTATCTTTCTTTTACAATTTTTTAATACTCCATCTACCCCACTTACCTCTTAACTATATATTTGTTAAAGTGTAACACTTATTAATACATGGAGGGAGTATACATTTATAATTCCTCAATTTTTTTAAATATTGCATCACTTAGCTTTTACAGAAGTTTCACAAATTTTACACTATAGCCATTTTAGAAAATTAACATCAATGTATGCACTATAAATACCTAATATACCCTTAGTTTTCAAAACTTGATTTTAAGTTTATGTATATAATATATGGGTAATTTTGTATCTTTACCATTATCACTCCTCCTTTTTTCAAATACCAAAAATGTTGTGCTCAATCCCTATGGTGCAATAATAACATAATGGAGGAAATATGAAGTATGAATTGTTAGCATTAATGTTTAAACCCATGACCACATGCTAATTGTAATTTAACTTCAACCACTACTCCAATGACACTTTTTATATCTACAATGGTTTGTTAAAAAAAGTTAATCATATTCATGAACTTGAAGATTTAATGTTTAATTTCATATATGTATATTTTACAACAATCTATAATAACAAGAAGGAAAATTTAAGATTATAAATCCGAACTTTGCGCGGTCTGAAATAAAAAAATCCGAACATTTGATTATTCTGTAAAAATCCGAACTTTGATACCCATTGACTTTTAAAGGTTCCAAATAACCGGTGATCTGAAGAACAGGTTAACTTTTTTTAATACTATTTCATTTGCCACGTGTCACATGTTAAGTAGTCCAAAAAAAATCAGAAAAAAATAAAAGTAAATAAAAAAAAGAAAAAAAATCAGAAAAAAAAAACGAAAACCCCCCAAATCCCAGCCACCACCCCTCTACCCCACAGCTGATTTGGGGGTTTTTGATTTAGGGTTTTAGGGGGTTGTTTAAGGGGAGGAAGGGGGTGGGCATGGCAGGGGGTGGGCGAAAACTACTCGCCGGCACTCCGGGGAGGGAGTTCCGGCGCCGGCCGTGGGGTAGAGGGAGTATTTCGAGGGTGGTTATGGGGTTTTGAGGGGTTTTGTGGTGGTTATGGGGAAGGGGAGGCTGTCGTGGAGGGGGTGGGGCCAGGGGTCCCCCTCGCCGGCGCCGGACGGTGGCATGGGTGGGGGTACGACCGGCGGGTGGTGGTGGTGGTGGGGACGGTGGTGGCTGGGGGTTGTGGGGTTTTTCATTTTTTTTAATTTTTTCTGATTTTTAAATTTTTTTTATTGTTTTTTTATTTTTTGTGGATATTTTTTTTATTTTTTCTGATTTTTTATTTTTGGACCACTTAACATGTGACACGTGGCATATTAACTTGGAGTAGCAGGTTTGGTGACCTGTTGGGTCCTCCAAAAGAAAATAGGTATCAAAGTTCGGATTTTTAATAATCAAAAGTTCGGATTTTTTAATTCAGACCGCACAAAGTTCGGATTTATAATCTTAATTCCTAACAAGAATTAATCTCATTTCTTTTATTTTCTCATACATAAATCCTATGACTAATATTTTGTAAGATAAAGTGTTTTTTTGGGCAACCCTTATGATAACTTATTTTTCTAGATTTGAACGAACTTATCTGAACTTGTTTTTTTCTTTACTGAATTTATCTAAACTTATCTTAACTTATGTAACTAATATAATTTATATTTCATCCCATAATTTTTACAAAAACTTTTGCATGCACCCGGTTTACAATAATTTTATTGTACATCGAACAATTTGCGGAAAATGACCCTTTTTCTTATAAAAATGACCCTTTTTTCTTACAAAAGTGACCCTTTTTTCCACAAAAGTGACCCCTTTTTTTCACAAAAATGACCCTTTTTCGCAAGAGTGATCCTTTATTCACAAAAGTGACCCTTTTTTTTTATCACAAAGTGACCTCTTTTTTTGCAAAAGTGACCCATATTTTACAAAAACGCACTAATGTCCGCCGACCTTCAAAAAAAAAATTAGGTCACAAAATTTAGAAAATATACCTTCAATTTTTCGTTTGAACTAGTAGTAGGAGGAGCAATTTTCCCCTTCTTTAAAAGCTTAACATTTGACATTATATTCGAAAACTAAAATCAAAATAGAATTAACATGAACATACCTTAAAATAACCAAAAATACAAAAAAAAAATATGAACATACATACCTCAAAATTGGATGTAAAAGAAGAATTAACAAAAGAAACTACAAAATTAAGTTGAAAACCAAGATTAGATAGAAAAACGAGAGTGAAATTGAAGAACAAAGGAGATAGAAACTAGAAAGAGGGGTAAAGAAGATGAGAGAGAAAAAGAAGAGCAGAGGAAAGAGAAGAAACAGAAATAAAAGAAAATAAAGCAGGAGAGAGAAAACATGAGAGTGGTAACAAATTTTAAATTTCACACGTGTAGATTGGGCCGTAATCACGGCCACTCAATAACTTATTGTAAACCCGTAATTTTTTTAAACTTTTGTGTAATTTTTATTATAAAAGCTCATGCGTAACTCTAATTATAAGTTTGTGTAAATCTATTTGATTAGATATTCTCATTAAACAATATATATAGGGATGACAACCTAATCTATGAGAATATACCATACATATTTACACAAAAGATATACACATAATACATATTATTTAATGAGAATATCTAATCAAAGAGATTTACAAAAACTTATAATTAGAGATACGCATGAGCTTTTATAAAATTATGGTATATATATACTCCCTCCATCTCCGAAAGAACGACTCATTTGGCCTAATTTTAGTCCCAAAAAGAATGACCCATTAGCATTAAAATACCCACCAATTTGCAACAATATTTGTGCAAAATTAGCTTCTCCATATAAAATTTTGTTTTTCCATATACTTTTATTACTGTATCTCTCTACTTTTTTGTAAACCCCATGTAAATTTACCTTTCCAATATACTTTTACTTCTTTTCATTTAACTTTTTTTAATACCCGCGAAATCAACCCAAATGAGTCGTTCTTTCGGGGAAGGAGGTAGTGTGTATATATATATATATATGGGGAGTTTTTTCCTGAGGTATTAAATAGCCACGTGTGATTTAAGTTTTTTAGCGCGCCATGTAAGATACTCCCTCCGTTTCAATATGATAGTCCCATATGGAATCAATCACATAAAATAAGAAAAGGATAATATTTGGAATCTATTAATAAATTAAAAAATAATTCATAAATAGTTTTGCCTTATTTAATTTTTTGATTTTTTTTAAGGAAAGTTTTAGTCATATTTGCATAAATCAAGGGAGTACTTTCTTTACTTAGAGTCATGTCATTAATTTACAATCAATTAATCTAACCAATCAGAATTTAATATGAATAAAATAGGAAATAAAAACTAAGTTAAAAGTGGAATACATTAGATATGAGTATATCTTTTTGAAACGCCCAAAATAGTATATGGGACTAACAAATTGAAACGGAGGGAGTAATAAATTATAGTTGTAGCCAATTAAATAAGAGATTATTAATTTTTTTTAGAAGTAGTTAATTCAAATGTCATGCAAGAAAAATTGGCAAATGATATTTTTACGTTTAAATTAATTACATATAAAATATTATCTTTTGATATTATGAATATTTATCTAAATATAATAAATTTTATCACATAAATACAAAAAAAAAAAAAAAATCCAAGCAAACCATGCAT